ATATGAGACTTTACATAGAACACCACCACCTGATTTTGAAACTTGTCTATCTAGCCTAACATAGATATCACAAGCTTTAATGTAAACTTCAGAATTTTCAATACTGCCATCTACACATGTTTCAGACACTGAAAGAACATCAAAATCATTTAAATTAAGAAAGTGTTGATGTGATCAACCTTTTTTCTCAGAGAATTAATGTTAATATGGCCAATTTTGAAATATTTTTGAGGAAGAAATTTGTAAACAATAAAACCATCATAAGATGGAAGTTCAGCAGTAGCAACCTTTGAGAAACAGTTATCACAACACCATATATTACACTTAGGAAATGAATCAGAGATACAAGTTATATGAAAATAACGAGTACAATTTTTACAATTCACAAAAATATTAGCTTGCAGAATATTTTTAAAGCATTCATCACATTTGTCAGACTTCCTAGAATTATACTGAGAATTATTGTTATCTTCCTTATTAATATTTTTTTAATGTAATTTTTGCTGCATTTTAGCAGACCAAACCTTAAAAAATGAATGACTTGCTAATTGTATTAATTTTTATATTCCTAAAGCTAAAACCCTGAAACGGTCCCAAAGCACTCACGGTGTGGACTGGCTCTTACTGTAAGTGCTTCTCCCGTAAGGGTCTGTTCGTGTCTGAACTAGAACATGTTCTAAACCGGTACCAGCTAATCTCGTCTGTCCACAGCAGTGGCTGAATGGACCAGTACACTGGGGTAACCCCCTACTAATCTCTAAAACAGTACTGGGTTGTTTAAAGTGCACAAGTCAAATTATGTAAAGTGGGCCTACGGTATATAATCCTTATCCGGGGAGCGAGAAGACTTGTTCCACCACCAGAACAGTAGGTAAGCGTGCCGTTCGAACCAGCGCCGATGCTGTACGTTGCGGCGCCTCTGACTTGAACGCTCGGCCATCCAACTCACCCTTCTCAAGAAAAATACCTTAGGCCTACATAAAGGCATTCTGAGATTCTGAAACATACATTGACTTGCTTGGCTTAGCCTAGCATTTGCCTGGGTTGGCAGGCCTGTCTCCTGTTCTATGATGTAAACAACAATATCTAGGCCTAGGCCTAGGCCTACCATAAAAAATTAAACCATGTTTTATTGGAACCACCCTTCTATTGAAATCAAAAACTTGAATTGTGGTTGGCAGATGGTCTACCTAGGCCTAGGCCTATTAAGTAGTGTTGAGTAGGTAATTTTGAAAATCCTATCATTTAACAGCTTGAATAGAATTTACTGTATCTCTCGTCTACTCTTAAGCCTAGGCCCCCCTATTTAGGCTGAATTCTGTCGCGAAGAGTCTTCAGATCAGTTATTTTCTTTCTTTATGAGTTCAGTAACGAACGGAAATGATAGGCCCCCTAGTCGCTGACCCTCTGCCCTGTCTCATCATAAAAGTACCCGTCCAGCGGGCCTGTCGGGTATAGTGGGCTTAGAAAATAAAATTAAAATATTTTAAGAAAAATAATGTGCATTACTCACAACGATATCTGAAACTTCTTTATCGTGTTTATCAATTACTTCCATTACGATTGACATTCACCACAATAAATTCACATACAAATTACGCTACAGATGTATGCATCAGCAGCTTGACTACAGTACGGTCAAAGACCAAAATCGTCTTGCGAGAGAACGATAGTCGCGTTTCCTGTCTCTTATACACATCTAGATGTGTATAAGAGACAGCAATAAAACCATCATAAGATGGAAGTTCAGCAGTAGCAACCTTTGAGAAACAGTTATCACAACACCATATATTACACTTAGGAAATGAATCAGAGATACAAGTTATATGAAAATAACGAGTACAATTTTTACAATTCACAAAAATATTAGGTTGCAGAATATTTTTAAAGCATTCATCAATGTGCATTACTCACAACGATATCTGAGACTTCTTTATCGTGTTTATCAATTACTTCCATTACGATTGACATTCACCACAATAAATTCACATACAAATTACGCTACAGATGTATGCATCAGCAGCTTGACGACAGTACGGTCAAAGACCAAAATCGTCTTGCGAGAGAACGATAGTCGCGTTTCTGATTGGCTGGTTGCATTTCTACACCAACTGCGCGGTAAACGCATACCGGTATTATTTCATAAAATTAAATAAGAATTATTGATTTTCACACGGGGATGTCAACATAAGTATGACCAAATCCCATTGCTGCAATATAGAAACTAAGAATGCTATATAAAAAGAGAAGACTTCATTGGAATAGATAGAAAATACGCTCCCAGCGGGAGGGTGTGTCTACTGCCTAATTTTATAGAAACGATGATGTGGAAAATGATTAATGATTTAATGGTTTAACATCATGAGAGTAATTGGGGGTGTTGATATTATACTCTCATGTATAATTGCCTATACATTGTATGCACTCTACAGTACACTATGGTATTTCTGTTAATAGACACATTACAGTGACACTGATATCCTTACCCTGTTACCAGGGCAACTGTTCCTTTTGTATATAGTCTGTGGTTTAGATATCCACGTACACATGACCTCCACCAGAATTAAAAAGGTCAACTTTTGCGCGACAATATAGTGCCTACTGCACCTGGGGGGGGGGGGCTGGCTGTAGACACAAAAAACCAAACAATTTCGAAATTGAAGCTACTAACATTTAATCATTATCATCATCGTCGTCATCAACATCATCATCATTAATGTACTACATATTATTAATCGACTTGCTATTAACCATATATTACGCTCAATGTCCTATCGCTTTCCCTCAATTGTATCAAGATTTTTCTATGCCAGCCCTATATTGCTTCTCCAATAGTGAACAGTAATAGATAAGCTATTAGCATCATATCTGTTATCAGCTTATCACATAGAAATAACGATGTTTAAATAAAGATATCAGTGATGAGTGAAAATACTTGAGGAAATCGATATGTTGTATTTTGGTTGGGAAAAAACTTTGAATAGAATATTATGAGATGGCAGACATAGGCTTATGTTAAGAAACAACTTTCCTACTTCTGATAAAGACTCTTCAATTGGTTACTGGTATATTGTACTGTATATAAAATTAGATTAAGGATGTTTCTAGTAAAGGTCCACTGTACATGAGAACAAAAATTATTTTGTGATATTTGTATCATTGGAAGTAAGTAACAAAATACTACAAACTGACAAAGCATTTGTTTTCATTTCATTTTAATTAAGAAAAATATTGTAAACATGTAAATGATGCTTTTATTACAAATCTAAAACAATGGTTAAATTATAACATTTTTTATATTTTCTTATTTTTAACATGCAAATATTTTGCGGAATATAATTATAATAACAATTATTATATTTGTCTATTATGATTAAACTAAAATGAAATCTAAATTAGCTTTCATGATTGAGCACTAAAATATTAATATCTCCCACAAATTCATGTTTGTATGTTTTTACCACTGTATAACAAATTGTCTCCCTGAAGTTATAGCAAACCACTGGTACAAGACAGACAGCCAAATACAATAAGACTAAATCAGATCTCCCAAGAGTATTTCTCCCCACCACCAGGACCAAGACAGTGGACGTGGTTGGGCGTCACTCTCTATGCCTATGACGTCATTCTCTATCCCTATGACAACTTCAAAGGCTTATTTAATGATTTTTAGTCCCCCGGCCCCCACTGGTGCCACCGATGTTCCCAACTTAGGACAACCTGCTTCATATACACCTAAAGATCAGTCAGAATATTACCCATAAATCTTTCTATTACAAATAGTCAATTTGTAAATTAAATCAAGGCTTCATGCTATTTCAACTTAAATTTTCAATACAATGATTATATTTAGCATCTTCATAACATCACCTCTGGATAATGGAACTAGGGGGGTGCTGTGTTATGGAGAGTAATGTGTGACCGGAAATGGTCTGCATCAGTTGGTTGTTACCATGCGCCAGTGATGTTGTACAGCAAGATGAAACTATTATGTAGGCCAAATGAATAAAGTTCGGAGTTTGTCGGGTAGTGAAATGATTATTGTACATTTTAAGAGCTAGCTAAATTCATAAGTGTAAGCTAAATTACGGTGATTAATTTAATTAGCAAAGATATGAAGACAATTATTTCGAAGTTCCCTCTTTCCAAGAGGGGATGCAAATGCTTTGTGAAAATGAGTACGCCACAGTACTCATTTTCACAAAGAACCCTGGGATTTTCCGGGAACCCTGCGTCAAGCGTAGCACCAATTTCTAGCATTATATAAAAAAAGCAGCATATTTTGCTATAAGAGCACCAGAACATTCAGTGAAGCTTTCCAGAGTAAGTCAAGCTTGACCAATCAGAATGCATTAATCAATAGCTATGAATGCACAAAATTATTCACCTCTCACCAGTTAAACTAGTGTTTTTATTAGGTTAATTATGCTCTTGATACATCAGCTGAAAAATCTAAGAAAAACTGTGCCAGGCTGTGAAGCAGTGGCTTAACCAGCGGTGCACAGTACGCTCAAGTAGTTAAAAATCACCTCCAATCACCTTATTTTGTGAGTTAACTCCCCTCACCCCATTTCACCTTCACGCTCCCCCATCAACTACCCACCCCCACTCCTAGATACGTTTTTGCTGTGGAGTTGTTCAGCCATAACGACCACTTAGTAGATCATTGCTCAGTGATGAAGCTGTGTCACATGCTACCATGATGTAACAGTTCATTCAGCTAATTTATACTACAGTATAAATATAATAAATGAAAACTTGTATAGCACCAGTATCCTCAATCCAAATTGGCGCTCATGGCGCTTTGTTCATTAACAACCGGAGAAAACATCCATAAATAATGATGTTTTCAAGTTATTCTTAAAACTGTTCAGACTAGAAGAGCATTTAACTGTTGCTGGTAAGCTGTTCCATACAGTTGCGGCTGCAATATAAAATGATCTCTGACCATACTGATTTCTGGCCCAATGCTCTTGAAGCAGATTTTGGGACAATGATCGTAGGCTTCTACGCGATGGTTCATAATGATCCACAAGGTCAGATCTCTTGTAAACAAACAGTGCCAGTTTGTACTTAATCCGTGGTTGAATAGGCAACCAGTGCAAGTCCATCAAAACTGGAATTATGTGAGCATTCGGTTTGGTTAAGTTACGACTCTAGCTGCCATATTTTGCAGCGCTGCAAACGTTGTATTTGCGATTTTGCTATCCCATATAACATGGCATTACCAATCAATAAAATGAAGCAGTGTCACATGCTGTCATGATGTAACAGTTCATTCAGCTAGTTTATCATTTTCAATAAAAATATCTGTCAGCGAAACAGGTTTAGCGCCAAGCACTTGCGACTCGTTATCATCCTTCTTCAGTTTTGGTGACTTCTTGGTCCTTGTTTTGGGAGGGGCTGACATACATAGTGAGTCCTTGTCAAAAAACAGAGGCACAATACCAAGGTCTCCATCAAATCTATTCTTGGCAACCTGAGTATTAAAAATACAAGAACATGAATAACAGAACAAAAGTAAAGGAAGTCATGAAATATTCCATATACAGTATATGGCATTATCCAAAATTGCAGGAGGCTGCAACTGAGGGCGGCAAGTCCAAAATTAGGTAGTGAAAAATAATTCAGGCATAGATCTAGGCTTATACAGTAGTTGGCAACATTCCACAACAAAATGGGCTGAACTGAGCCAGAAAATCAGGGCAATCCCCTACTCTTCTGGAAGATGCAATGGATTTTTTAAATTGCTCATGAGCCAAATGTTCATCCCAGAAAACTTAGTTCTACTAACCGAACCCTGGTTGAAAAAGGGTGTAGAACCAGGGTGGAATCCAGAGAAACATCTGGGTTGGGGTCATGTGACATAGGGAGCACCGAGTGGGACGAGGGAGGGGAGAAGGGGGCTGGTATTCCAAGACTTTTGTTGAAATGCATAAACACTGGTAGGCCTACATGGAACTTAAATCAAATATTAGCCTGGTTTGGTGTACCAAGCTCCCACTTTTCTCCTTCCTTTCCTTTCCTCTACCTTTTTTTGGGTCCCCTGTTGCACCCCCTGGATTCACCACTATGGACCAGCACTTGATATTAGGGCTGTAGTGTTTGGTAGGTTCTATTGTTTTGCATTAATTTACTATTTTATATCACAATAAAGTACCTGAATGTACTTCTTCCCCCTTAAGGAGGTTAGCCTCCTATCCTGAAGTATCAGAATGTTGTCTGCCTCCTGGCTTGCCTTGGCACTCCCAAAGATTGATGCCGTCTGCAGCTCGTCGGAATCTTTTTCCTTGGTTGAATAAACAAATGGGTGGAAACAATCAAAAACAATATTAAATTTTTTCATCTTCTGAATTATATATTATATACTTTCATGTTCTATGTTTGCACCAATTAGAGCCTACGCTTGAGAGGATGATAATTCGTTTTTGAGTGTCATGAAATCCTCACCTTACGTGGATGAATAACCACAGTCACATGACAATTATTCCTCGTTGCGAAAGTGCGAAACGTAGCGATGATGGCATCATATACTGCAAAGCGGTCATTGATGTTTCTGTCAGAAGTGCCAACCATAAACTGTAAGTTGTCAACTATGACATGCTCAATATCATGTACGTACACAGCATGTGTCATCGCCTTTGGAAAAAGAACAAATATATCCCAGTTCTAGTGACTAATATCAAAGAGTATAGAACTGCAAGGGGCTGATCTTAAACATCAGAACAAGGCTGCTTATTAGGGGGGAAAGTTTCCCATTACAGTCTCTTCTCTGCCGGTCTGTAAACAAACGTATCAAATATAGACTTACTACTCTCACATACAAGTGTCTCTCTATAGTTCCACTGCATGTTATATCCAAGAGAGCCATCATTTTCTTACTGGAATATTTTAGAGTTTTGATAGTTACATTGGAAAACAGTGATCTAAAAGATCTATAATACCATTAAAAAAAACGTTTTGAAGGCAATACTGGGTCCTAAATGACAGTAATTTCCAAACAGTGTCCAAAATAACTTTACAAGAATTCTCAATCTCCAAGTTATTCCATCTCACCTAGCCTATTTCTAGGCTACATTTGTGTCTTCCAACAACTGAACCAAGGTTAATATGGTCTAGCTTAAGCAATCAATATAACATAGCCCAGCCGCAAGAAAAATATAATGGAAGCTAAAATGATGTCATGATGGACTTTATAGAATATGTCAGTATTAATACTATACCTCAACGACTGCCTTGATACCCTGTTGGCCGTGGAAGTCTAAGAAGTAAAGAGGTAACAACTCGATCTTGTCGGCCCATAAATCAAACACCTCCATATTCTTCTCAATATTTAATCTTCAGATGATCATTCATTGAAAAAAACATTATTGTTCATAGTCTACCTTTTAACAGTACACATAATAGTCACTTGAACAAAAAAAATAGGTGAAGGTACATTGTTTTTTAAAATATTTTTTGCTTTTTAATGACAAGGTAATTTAACGAATGAATTATTAATACAATATAATTAATACAGGTCTCCCTCCAATTAAAGACCACTTTTGGGACAGGGTTTCCATTGTCTTTAGCAACTAAAGATAAAATACATTTCTTAATAGATTTCTGTATAATAATAATATAATTAATAAATTTATTTACCTTAATTAATTGATATAATCAATAATTATTTATTAAAGCAATTTACATGAGAAATTATTTAAGTTTTACTCACTGAGATAACTGGCGAAGCATAATTTTCGCAAGTCGAACATTCTTGATCTCAAAACTTCCCCAAAGTGTATTCACCTAGACAATGTAAATCAACTGTTAATTGAAATCGTAATAGAAAATCATTTAATGGAACTTAAATTTGTTAACCCAGAGGACACGGAACTAAGGGGTGCTGCATTATGGAGAGTAATGTGTGACCGAAAATGGTCTGCCAGTTGGTTGTTACCATGTGCCAGTGATGTTGGAGTACAGCAAGATGAAACTATTTATGTAATGCATGAATAAAGTTTGGGGTTTGTCGGGTAGTGAAATGATTATTGTACATTTTAAGTGCTCCCTCCACGCATACGTGTAAGCTAAATTACGGTGATTAATTAGCGAAGATATTGGAGATAATTATTTCGAAGTTCCCTCTTTCCAAGAGGGGATGCAAATGCTTTGTGAAAATGAGTACGCCACGGTACTCATTTTCACAAAGGAATACATGCAGCTGGTTCTAACAATATGCAAATTTACATGAACACCTGTGAAGAAATGTGCAATCACATTCTGTTGCCTAGCAAACGTCTGTACTGTAGCGTGGAGGGGGGGGGGCTAGCGATGTACTGTGTATAGCGGGGGACGATGAAGCATAATGACTAGGCCTAGGCCTAAGTAGACAGTGCAATTATATATGATAGAAAGTACACTTTCGAAAGAAATAAATTAAAATAAGGAAAAAAAATTAACTAGGGCCTAAGAATAATTTAGTTGCAAACGTACCTTGTTTAAGTATTATATGCTAACTTTGCGGCTCTTGTAGCCCTAGCTAGGCAAGGCATTCATGTGCAAAGCAGTGGTGTTTGTTTATCCATGAAAAAAGCAGGCCGGGCAAGTTTGCCTTACCAGGAAAAGGTGACGTAATCTAGCTTATGACGTATGCATGCTAACTATAGTGAGTGTGACGTCATCAAAAAATAAAAATTTTCTATTATAACCAAAATATTAATAACTACAAGGTTTGTGGGCGTAAATTCCCTTAATACGAATTAAGGGTAGCACCATCTCCTTGCCATACAAATTACAGCTCCCAGTGACGTCTCTGTCGATAGCTGAAGTTTTTCTCGAAAATCTGACTACGAAACTATATCGAAATTCATGTTCCACTTCTGACTCTGAGTTGTGCTTTGCACACGCCGCTGAGGGCGGCATTCCGGGAACCCTGCGTCAAGGGCAGTATATGAAATCCACCTTCTTTTCCTTTTCATTAAGGTCTTGTTCAGACTATCACATTTTATTTGACAATAACATGTGATATGCCTAAATATGGTCATGATGACATCACATCATGATCATATATACGTACATCATGACTATATATGGGCATACAACAGTTTTGGGTCAAATAAAATTTGATACTCAAGATAGGGGGCTTTAGGAACATTTGGCTTTCGTTTATTTTATTTCAATTTATTCAAGCTTTGTTATGTGCTAAAGTTTTTTTTTATTTGAGCATACCAATAATATGAAAGAAGTCAATATAAAGCAACAAACTCACCCCCTGCATACACAGGTCCAGTGAGTATTCACTGATGAATGTAGTCTTGCCACTGCCTGTTGGACCAGTAAAAACTGTCAATTCACCTTTCCTGTGACCTTTCAGCATATTACAGAGCTGTGGAAAACGCTGCCACTGTATAATAAATATATAATCAAAACATTAACCCTTCATAGGCTGTGATGAGCATAATTTGATTTAAGGCAAGAGGTGGTAGTGGTGGGGAGTGGAAAGAGGGCAGTATAATAATTTCAAAATTAGGAGTGGTTTTGCGAAGCAGTTGTGCCAAACCGCTCCTCAACCTTGAGGTGGGAAGTTCAATCCCTCCCTGTACACTTTGCTTGTGTCCTACGCAAGGCAATTTACCTACGGTTATCTCTGTCCACCCAGGAATACAAGTGGGTAATGAAAGGTTCAAACATAAAATGTGCTGATAACAGCTGCAACATTATGGAATTCTCCCCAGGGAGGTGATTATGTGTTTCATATGTGCTTGATCCAGTGTTCTCCCAATTGAAACATTCTTACTGGTCAATTTGTAAAAAATTCAGCAATGCGCGCAGTGTGAGGCATTATCCCTTTTGAGTGGGGTTTAATGACTTGAAGAAACAACAACACATATCCATAGCCTAGACTCAGGCTGGAATGATGTTAATTTATTGAAAGAGTGCCACCCTAGGCTACCTAGGCCTATCAGTAGTTCTTTTATTTTACAAACTCAAAATTTTTACTGGTTGGCCAGTTATTTTTACTGGTAAAATTGACAGCTGAAACAGCTTTGAGAGAACACTGTTGATCCAATGACCAGGGGTAATATTGTAAATTGCTTAGAGGCTTTGTTAACATGAAGCACTATGTAAATTTAACATCATATTATTAATTGATACCTTGATGAAATCAATTATTGATTCAATTAATGTAACAGTAATACCTTGACACCAGCCACTTGGTCTGTATCTGTGAGTTCACGAAAAACCTCCTCCCGTATATTTTGGAAAGAAACTATTGACCTATGGGCAACAGGCTGAGCTTTCTTCAGTATACTTCTCAAATCAATATTCATGTTTAGGGCCTGCAGTGGGGCTGGGAGTTCATCCAAAGGTCTGGTGACATAAAAATAACATAGAAAAAATCTAAATTAGCTACATAATAAAGACTTTTAAGACATAAACCAAAACCTAAATTTTCAATCAAGTTCTAATAAAAATTGGTAACAGTTTGATTCAAGATAAAGCTTACATTTTCAAATTTTGTGAAAATAGCCACATAAAGTTTACAAAATGTATTGAATGATAAGCGGTTGGCGCAATGGTTGTTGGTCGGACTCAACCTTTAGTTGGGATTTGAGACTGGTGCTGTGCAAGTTTCTTTTTTCCTTGGGCAAGGCACTTTATCCATGCTGTCTCTCTCCACCCAGGATTATAGGAGGCCTAAGTGCAAATGCATTTATCTAAATTTCTTCAATTAGGCAAGACTCCATATACCTTGTTTCGCAAAGCTTGCTATTTTTTAAAGATTATCAGAGGAGGCCGAAAATAAAATAAAAAATAAAACTAAAATTTAGTTTTTTCATTTAGCAAATTCCATTAAGGTGAAGGGGAAAAGTAAAAATATAATTTTATTAAAGAATTACACAGTGAGTAATTAGATTGTTAAATGCTTTATATTTATATAATTAAGGAAGAAATATATAATTATTTTTTTCTCAAGATTTCAGAGGGGGTAATAAAAATATTTTTTTATAAAATTTCCATTTTTCGTGGTGGCAGGTGCTCTGATTGGCCAAAAATAAAATTTAATTTTTATTCAAAATTATCAATACTGGGCGGGCGGTGGGTTCGCTAGACAAGGTATACAAAGTCTTGCCATACCTGATAAGATGACAGCGTTTAGAACTCAATTTCTTTGAGAATTTTCTTGCAGCTTCCCAAGACCTGACATCATTTCCAAACCACAGGAAAATTTTCTTGAAATGCTCAAGCATTGGTAAAATCTAAAAGAAAAAATAAATATAATTTCATCAATATTTTATGCTTATAAAATAAACTGACTACTATATATTTTTAATATCACATGATCATTAGCTGAAATACAGGTCTCCCTCCAATAAAAGACCAGAAAAAGAGTTTCCATGGTCTTTAGCAACTTTGGTCTTCAATTACAATAATAAAGATAAAAGTCATTGGCCGTATTAGACTTGTCATTCTACCATGCCCACCTGCACAGTGGTAAAATCCTACTTAACGAAGACAACCAGTCAAATAGAAAACTGGACCAAAAACAAAATGGCTGCATAGTTACCGTGATACACGCTACGTAATAAAGGCTGCTTCCAATTGTGACAGTATGGGTTTTTCGTAAACAAAAATGTTTTCATCCAGTTTTTTAATTCTGTTCTGCCTACAATTATTTTTTTGACTTCAATGTGGGTGAATATTATAATTTTTATTTTCTGAAATTTAATCTAAATCTAAATGATATTAATGTAAATGCTGTTGCTAAATTGACTAATAGGCCATATTTTTTTTGGTCACATGCTTAACGCTGATTAACGCATTCTGGTTACGTTAATTTTCAATGAAAATTTGTACTCAAACGAAAATTTGTACTCAACAAAATGAACCAGTCGAATAAGCCCATTGGTTTATTTGGATCAATTATAATATTGATCAAAAATATTGAACAAATTAAGAATAAATTTCATTTACCTCCTGTGGAAGAGTTAAGAGACCTCTGGGAAGTGAGAGCACTGATGTCTGAAGCTTCTGGTGAATTGCCACAGCATCAAACTCATTTACAGTTAGTACAACCGCTTCTGCATTTGGATCCAACAACTGATAGCCAAAAAGACCATCTGGATTCAATCTAAGGGTATAAAATAACAATTAAAAATATTGTCACCTTTTCCTAAAACATTTGTAAGGGTGTCACCTGAATCATACCCCAGTATTTTTTAAATACCGAAATTTCCTTAGAAGATACTTCATTACAATATTTGCTTTCTATTAACACACAAGGCTACCACCTACTACTATTACAGAATGAAGACTTAGGGCCTGTTTCTGCTGAGTAAAAAAACATTTGTTTTTAAATGGTTATTATGTGTTTTTTCCCAGCAAGAAAAGGGTCAAAAAACAAAAACATGATTATGTTCTAAAAATGCATATTTTAACATGATTTCGTTATAGGGTTGGCGTTCAGTGTTGTACATTTTTCAGCTGCAACACAATACCGTGTTAGTCATGACCCGTCGGTGACCCAAATTGACCTCTTCGTTGGTTTGAACGTTTATCCGCGGGAAATTCAGGGTGAAGAAAAAAATTCAACCAACCAGCATTTAGTTTCTCAAAACCCCACGCTTCAAAATTAAAGTTTATAGATCATCACACACCATCACTGACTTTAATCACTTAATTGTGAAAATCAAAATAAGAGTAAAGTACAATTATATAACAATTATTATTATCAGTGGTTATATTAAGGGGCAAATATATGCACATCGAAATAACAAGTTGAATAACACACACAATAAGGAAAGATTTATACTGTATATGAAGTAAATAATATTGTATACACTTATATCAATTATAGATAAATGACAGAAACAGTGCTCAAATATACGAACAACTGATGTTATATACACAAAAGGCATTGGCCTAGCCCTTCAACAAAAAGGTTACTCTGAGCATAACTATGGATGGCTTTGTACATACTCACTTTTGGATAAAAAAGTAATCACTATAACAAACTGACCTGGGGTATGTCGCTTCTTCCAAGTTAACCTGTTTGCTTCGGGTGACTTTCTTCATCTCAAGAACTTTTATAGCACTGATTTTCATTTCATGGTTATGAAGCGGTAAAAACAGTTTTTTATCCTTCTTGCAAACTTTAACATTTAGCTTATTAAGAGCAATGTCTGAGAGTGCCTAAAAGAAAAATCACACTGAAGCAGATCATGTATCTGTAAATAATGATTTAAGCTACAGCTAAACAAAGTGCAGCTGGCAAGCCACATGCAGCCCAACAGAATTTTTTTCTTTGTGGCTAGCGAAAATATATTAAAAACCATTTGTGTCTGGCCTGCCTACATTCTTTGGCTAGAGAATCCCTTATCATCATGGCCCGGTGCCTACAATCTGTAAAAAATATTTAAACTGAGAAAAAGTGGTATACAGTGAATGAATGTTTTTACAAGCCCAAACAAAACATCAAATTTGCAAACATCTGATTTGCATGCAGCACTCAGTGTAAAATCTGAACTTTAATTTGGCCTTCCAACCCATTTTTATAACAACCCCTGATTTAAGCAATTACCATTAAGTGCTTTAAAAGGTTATGTAACATTATTATAATTATTATAGAGGTTTTGTCAATTGATAACTTATTATTGATTAATGCATTCTTTCAGAACCTTTGTCCATACTATCAATTTTTCTGTGACAAAAATTTGTATATGTGGCAAAGACAAGCCAAACCAGTCACTCGTCGGAAAATCAATTGTTAGTTATTAATATAGGGTTTAAAATGAGAGCTATAAAATGGTAAAAGAATCATTTAAATCCGACACTTCGTTATGAAGTTACACGAGTTTAAACATACAGCTGTTTAAAGAACAATATTTGAGAAATCAGCCTTCAAAGTTTACAATTTCAGGCATTTCTTAGGCAGAAACCATCACCAAATCGTTAAAAATTGTTGTTTTAACATTGAAAATGAGGAAAATAACAGCATAGCATGATGTATAGATATATAAAGGTTAGTATAGTGCAATAAAATAGATTTCCAAAATTTTGAAATTCCAGCATGTTTTGGCCATTATCTCCAAAACAGGATTTGCGACGAGTGACTGGTTTAGCTTGTCTTTGCCACATATGAACCTTTCAATGCTAAAACCAGCATCAGTGCCAAACAAATGAAAAATTACCTTTTTAATATTTTCTTATTCTCCACATTATAAGCTTTAAAATGATGGGTCATCTAATGGAACTGACTTTCTATTGCCAAAGTTAATATTATACATAAAAGTACTATGGATTCTCTGTACTAAAGTATACAATACTCACTACATTATTATGCTAATTATTTGCTATTAGCGACAGTAGGCTGGTGTTTGGATGGCATGCCTCATATATGGCATGATGATGCCATACTGGATCCTTCAAAAGAATCAAAGGCATTTTTACGTATAAAACCTGGTAATGTGGACAAATCTTCATAGATCATGACGTATTGTGTATATAGTTAGATACTTGATGTTAGAAAAAAAGAATACAGTAGGTGTCAGAACTTGAAAGACCAGATCCTTGGACACCACCGCCGCAATTCATAAATCAGCCATAACAGACCAGATTCTCGCACAAACCATGTCCCCCAATTGGGATGCAACGATTTTAGTCAAAGTTCATGGTTTGAGAGATGGGTTCACAAATCCCTTCAAATCAAAAGAAAGGACACAAAACTTTAAATAGGGATGACGATGGGCCCAAACTGTCGCATATCTACGACGACCTCATCCATTGCAGGGGAAGGGAATGCCCAAAGACTACCAGTCTTCATAACACCAAAACGACTGATGGCGCACTTCGACCTGAATTCCACCAAGGTTATACTATGACCAAGCTGCAACACCACAGTTCACTTGAAAACACTCATAGAGTATCAGCGAAACTGCGTGTGAATACGTTTTTTTTTAATTTTTGTTTTTTAAATATTAATTGGATCATCAAAAAAGAACAAATTCAACCCAATAATTAATATTGGATCCAGATGAATTTTTTCAATAAATTTTTTTCAAGCAAAAAAGAAAGCAATGTTGTAATACCTCAATCTGGAATAATTTTTTGAAAGCTCCATTAGTTCGCTGCTCCAGTTGACTAAACTCACTTGATTCCATCCATCTGGTGATGCCTTCGTCTAATTCTTCCTTGCGTCTTTCCACATCATCCTGATACTTAGTCACATTCTCATCAGCATCCAATGAAATATTCTCTCGTTTCGCAACACTGATACTGTCTTGTAAGTGGCGCCAAGGACCTTGAAATTTTTGACACTTGCAGATGTGGAATCCTGCAAAAGATGCAAATTGTAATAAAAATACATTGTTTGTATACAATGTTCATATCTCCAAAATTTGGTATCAGGTTAAGATGACGATCAGGGATTGAAAATACAACGCCACATAGCACCACAAGTTATGCTCAAAGAGGATAATCGCTGGTGGGTGTAAGGGAGCAGGATTTTATGGATTACGGTAGATGGTAAAATATGTGTAATCCAATGACAGTGGTTCATGCATTGTAACAGGAAAAATTGCGCCCTCTAAGCATCAGCTGGTGCCACCGATGTCAGTGTTACAGGGGTGGCACCAATGGGGCGGCTGGGAAAATACTGCAGTGGAACAAGTATGATCTTAATATAAAAGGGGTTTACAAAAAAAATAAATGTTTAAAAAAGTAAATAAATAAAATAAGAATATATAATGAGTAAGTATTGTATATAATATATAACATTAACATATTAGTCATGTAATATAAAAGTAATTATATATTCATTTCGTTCTTTCAATGTTAAAAATAATTTACAATGTTTATCGAAAACTTTACTTGTAATATAATATAATTAATCAAAAAAACCCTTAAATTTTAAAGTGGCTGCCTATATTAGGGTGAATTTGGTTGAAGTTTGAAATATGATACAAGATTTACGATACCGGTACGACACATTTTATTTGTTCTATAAAATCACAAACAAATTTTGAATTTAAATTTTAGTTCATGTTGCTTTGAGCCCGTTTAATACATACCTGAAGTCATATTTACATAAAGCTTCTTCTCTGCTTCTTCACAGAATGGACATCCCATTTGGAAACATGTGTATCCTGCAACAACATCCCAACCATGTGACTGAAGAGCTAGCTTCATCTCCGATGCAGTCGGAATCTGCGCATCTTCGGCAGAATGAATCTTTAGCATCCGTTTCATCAGCGGTACTCCTGTGTACAAATCTCTCTTCCTCACTATTTTCAGCCATCTTGCATGCTGCTGTTGATGAATGTGAACACCATACACTGTACAATAACTTTTTTGTGTCTTACAGGTACCATGATCTGCCAGAAAACTTACTTGGGGAAGAAAGGAGTATAGTCGAATTACTGAGAAACTGTTTAGCTTCAGTAGTTTGCTGGTTGAGGCACATGGTAGTTTAATTGGGAGTTTTTTTACTACCACTTGGTGGAGATGACATGCCATTAATGAAAGAGTTGCAATGTAAAATTCTATTCATCCATCCAGATTTCTTAATACAGTAATACCAGACAGCTAGAAAGATACAAATAACATTGTATCAAATATGATGGGTCTTTTTTAGATAGATTCACTGAGTTTAATACCCTTAAATACTAATAATTATAATTATTAAAATATTAAATGCACTAATTTTTTTAATATGCCTGGCCTAAGCTTTCCTTGTCAAATTGATAAATAAAACAAGTTGTCTGCCTTTCTTTTATTTATTTTATTTACTCCCACACAACATCAACATAAAGCGTTTCAATTTCCCTGGTATTCATAATCAAAAGCCCACATAATTACTGAATTTTTTACACAGACTACGATGATGATTTATCTTGTATTACTCATTCGTAATTGTGGTTCTTTCTACTCGCTTCAAGAAAGTGGGTTTTTAACTGTAGGCAAATGGTGAATCTATTTATGCATAACCTACTGTACTTATCTTTATTTTTACAGTTGTGCAATGTCATTATTGTAGTGTTGATAGACACTACACCAATGATTTGTGCACCATCTGACACCTAGATATATAAATTTAATTTAAATTTCAATGGCGAATATCAATTAAAATTACTCCCATTCACAACAATTATTGTAAATTTACAAATACAGTTACAATACTATATACACTAATTCAATTACAAATATAATTTGCTTTTTTAAGTACAAAACCCCTAACTGGCGATAAAAACTGTGAAGTCAGAATGAAACGTACGCAATTTAATAGTTTTATAATACAGTACAAGTGTGTGATCGCACCGACAATTTGATTAGTGGGGTCCTTCTAGTGATGAATTGGGAAGTTAACTCCTAGCTAGCCCGCTGTGCGGAGGCTAACTGGCCTCTACCGCATCTGAGCTACGTGCCCTTTCTCTAGACATTCAGTTCAAGTTTCGACCGACAAGGACATTAACCACGCATGCGCCACCCATCGTCATAAGAATGGGGCTATTTTCAAGACTCATCGTAATTATAGCCACAGCGTTTTTTCTATGTGCCCGTTAGTTAGCGAAGGTGATCTAAGTGCATGCAACATATCACAGAGCCAATTAATATAGATAGACGAGTCTTGAAATGGTAGCAATCATTCAAGGCCACGGGAATGAAGGTTGTAGGTTTGCGTCTACCACCCGCATGCCTAAAAAGCTACTGCACAAAAATTTTCCTTATTTTGAAAATTTCATTATTTTTAAAAAACGGACTTTCTAAGTCGTAAACAGACAGAAAAACGATCTATTCATCACTGATCACTCGTCGCGAACACTGAGCGAAGGCAGGCCTGGCCACATCGCACCATGATCGCCGATCATTGCTGAGGTCATTTAGTATTTATGGGTCAAATCGATCTTTCTGACCAATAGGAAATCTCGTATGTTTAAAGAAGTCTTAAATGTAGAAAAGGATCTGTTTTATAGGCTAGTGTACATTTATGACTGTAAGCATTGTTTCTTGGGAATAAAATGTAAAATTACCAATGCCGTGGCTTGTAGACAGCATTTATAAAAAAAATATGAATAATGAAAATGAAAAAATGCCTCATGTGTTTTCAAAACTTTTTGGACGCAAACCTACAACTTTCATTCTCGCGGCCCAATCATTGTTTTACTTTTGGGAAAAAAAAGGTCACTCCATTAACATAAATTTTTGCGTTCAAAGGGGCGCGGCCGAAGTTGGCCTAGCCTAAAGCCCTCCTCTAGCTAGATGCCTTGGGCCTACCTCCTCACTCAGCCTATGCTACTAGGTCATGACTTGGCCTAGGCCTCGTCCTAGCCTACCGCCTAGGGGCCTAGGCCGAAACCCCTAGGCCTAGCAAACTCTCTAGTCGAGGCCTAGGCCCTCCCTAGGCCTACAGTAGCACAAATGTGCCTTCTCAATCTAGCAGGCCATGGCATATGCTGTAGTAACATCTTGGCCTATTCTAACTAACGTTTAAGAGAAATGCTAAGTAGAATACATGAATATAGGCCTACCTGAATAATCAACAAATGACTAACATGAAAATATCAAAAACATGTTTATATTTTCATACCGCGCGCGCGGACAGGTTATCAATGGGCTTATTCGACTGGTTACTTCGTTGAGTACGAATTTTCGTTGAGTATTATTTTCATTTGACTGGTTCGATAGACTTCGTAGACAACGAGCGAAAATAACATAACCTAATGATCAGATAAGAAAGTATAATACATACTCCAAGTATTGAAATACACGCCATCGTGTTGGGATTCAATATTTCGACATTAATTATGTCATCATCAGGAAGGAATATAGGCCCACATTAAGATCAAAAAGTAATTGTAGGATAACAGAATTTAAAAACTGGATGAAAACATTTTTTTACGAAAAAAAACCATACTGCCACAACAATCCGAAGCAGCCTTGATTACGCAGCGTGTATCGCGGTAACTATGCAGCCGTTTTGTTTTGTCGAGTAATTTACCAGTTTTCTTCAACGTTAAGCTTATTGTTTAATTTTATATTATATGTTTTGTTTTTTTGTTTTTTTTTTTTTTTAAAGAACGACCAATCGAATACGGCCAATTGTTTATCTCATGAATCCTGACTCATAATCCTGACTCTCATGGTCAGCTCGTTTCTGCGCTGTTGCTCAGTATCAAGCTCTTCTTATCTGAAATGCGTTTCCGGTGCGACGCAAATTTTTTATTTTTATACCTTGTTTACCGAACTTATTTTTTACAGATCGCCAGAGGAAGTTGGAAAAAAAATTAAATTAGATTTTTTTATTCCTGATGATGACATAATTTTTTTTATTCCTGATGATGACATAATTAATGTCGAAATATTGAATCCTAACACGATGGCGTGTATTTCAATACTTGGAGTATGTATTATACTTTCTTATCTGAGATTAATCAGTGGACCTTTCGCTAATGATCAGCGTTAAGTTATGCACGTGACCAAAAAAATATGGCCTATTTAGCAATTTATGGCCGATTTGGCAACAACATTTGCGATAATGTAATTTAGATTAAATTTCAGGAAATAAAATTTATAATATTTACCCACATTAAGATCAAAAAGTAATTGTAGGATAACAGAATTTAAAAACTGGATGAAAACATTTTTTTACGAAAAAAAACCATACTGCCACAACAATCCGAAGCAGCCTTGATTACGCAGCGTGTATCGCGGTAACTATGCAGCCGTTTTGTTTTGTCGAGTAATTTACCAGTTTTCTTCAACGTTAAGCTTATTGTTTAATTTTATATTATATGTTTTGTTTTGTTTTTTTTTGTTTTTTTTTTCAAAGAACGACCAATCGAATACGGCCAATGGTTTATCTCATGAATCCCATAGAGCTATTAAACAACTAGAGTGCTGACAAGATGGCGGAGCAATGCAGAGTTGTGTATGTGTACCATCCAAGATGGCTGCCGTAGGAAAGCGCCGCCTTCAGGCTTAGTATACATATTATTCCCATAAATAAGCCCTCTGAGTGAATATTATTTCATTAATGATAATTAGTATTGATAATGACAAATTATTAAACTGTCGTAGCCAACAAGAGGCCAGGTAGAGCATCTTATTCAAATATTTAAAAAAAATTAAAATCGTGTACATTACACTCATACACCGCAAGGCTCGAGTTTCAAAAAAGCCGTACTGAACTTTCGGTGTAAATTGAGGGCGCCATTGAAAATGATAGTGCTCAGGCGAAATTTGATTGGCCGAATCTATGGCAGCCATCTTGCATGGTACACACACACAACTCTGCGTATTTCGAACATCGAATACATTGCTGTTAGCGCTCTAGTATTCTTATTATATCTCTTTGGCTACGTTCAGACCTGTGAGATACGCCAGGCGTATCTAACGCCGGGCGTACGTTAATCCATGGCGTAACTAGTGAGATGTCCAGACTGGGCGATTAATGAACGCTAGCGTAAGTATTCGCGCGAAATATTCGTATTAGTAATTCGCGCATTTTATTTTCTGTTTACATCTAGGTTTATTTTGATTGGTCAAGTCTTGGCTGAGTTCAAAATCACCGATGCGTGACTGTCGTAAATCAGTGGCGTACGCTAATCTGGGGTCTGTTGCTGGATTACCGTACGCCAGTGATAGCGCGATAATACTGGCGTTCGCTACGCCGCGCACAAGTTCACACCACTCTATTAACGTTACGCTAGCGTAAGTCGTTGTGTCTGAACATAGCATAGAGGTATAATAAGAATACTAGAGCGCTAACCGCAATGTATTCGATGTTCGAAATACGCAGAACTGTGTGTGTGTACCATCCAAGATGGCTACCATAGATTTAGCCAATCAAATTTCGCTAAGCACCATCGTTTGCAATTGCGCCCTCAATTTACTCAGAAAGTTCGGTACAGCATAGAGCTTATATCTCTATGCGGTACAGCTAGTTTGAAACTCGAGCGTTGCGGTGTTTGGGTGTAATGTATACGATTTTAATTTTCATTCCTTGGTACTTTATTTTTGAATAAGATGCTTCACTTGGCCTCGTTTTGGCTACAATAGTTTAATAACTTGTTATTACCATTACTCATTATCATTAATGAAATAATAGTCAGTCAGAGGGCTTATTAATATGTAATAATATCATAGAGCTATTAAACAACTAGAGTGCTGACAAGATGGCGCAGCAATGCAGAGTTATGGATGTGTACCATCCAAGATGGCCGTCGTAGTAAAGCGCCACCTTCAGGCTTAGTATACATATTATTAAATATTAATAAGCCCTCTGACTGACTATTATTTCATTAATGATAATGAGTAATGGTAATAACAAATTATTAAACTATTGTAGCCAAAATGAGGCCAAGTGGAGCATCTTATTCAAAAATAAAGTACCAAGGAATGAAAATTAAAATCATGTATATTACACCTAAACACCGCAACGCTCGAGTTTCAACATACGGGTAACTAACTGTACTGAACTTTCTGAGTAAATTGAGGGCGCAATTGCAAACGATGGTGCTTAGCGAAATTTGATTGGCTAAATCTATGGCAGCCATCTTGGATGGTACACACACACCGTTCTGCGTATTTCGAACATCGAATACGTTGGGGTTAGCGCTCTAGTATTCTTATTATATCTCTATGAATAATATGTATACTAAGCCTGAAGGTGGCGCTTTACTACGACGGCCATCTTGGATGGTACACATACATAACTCTGCATTGCTGCGCCATCTTGTCAGTTGTTTAATAGCTCTATGGAACATAGCCTATGATGAATCCTGACTCATAATCCTGACTCTCATGGTCAGCTCGTTTCTGCGCTGTTGCTCAGCATCAAGCTCTTCTTATCTGAAACGCGTTTCCGGTGCGACGCAAAATTTTTATTTTTATACCTTGTTTACCGAACTTATTTTTTACAGATCGCCAGAGGAAGTTGGAAAAAAAAATTAAATTAGATTTTTTTATATTATTATTTAGCAAATGGTTTGCCAAAACATCCAGACGGATGAGAAAATAAAAATAAAATGTCATTGGTGAATGTAAACAGTGTTATTATTTAGAAATCCCTTGCTAATCAGTGGCACTCGCTCGTTTCCGAATGGTGCACCCACAACATAGGCCCTACATTGGGCGGATGCAGAATTTGGTGGTAGTGGATGTGTGGAAGGGCGCAGATCTGTTTTGAAAGGGAGGTGGGGGGAATTTCGTGAAAATAATACATGGCCGGAAATGACACTTTATATAGTAAAATTCATTATCATTATTTTTCTTAATACAAGGGGGTGCGATCGCGCCGTTTGCGCCCCCCCCCCCCCCCCCCCCCCCCCCCCCCCCCCCCCCCCCCCCACCCCCCCCCGACCCCCACCCCCAA